TTGTAAATGTGTTCGGCATTTTTTAAATTATGTGAAAATATAAATGTTTGATATAATCTGAATATTAGGCTAGCTATATTGGATTTTAAATTGGTTTATGCATCTACTCTTTATTAAATAAAAACAATTAGATAAGTCTATTATAACATATTTTGGTGAAAATAGTAGTAAAAATAAATTTAAATTATTTTATATACTTATATTCTAATTTGAATCATTTTGCAAGTTTTATATATATATATATATATATATATATATATATATATATATATATATATATATATATATATTAGCGATAATTTGTTGCTCAAACGAGATAGATATATAAGGGATAATGATTCTTTTCGTTCAAATAATGAAATTTTTAGAAGATATAAAATTATGTTGATCATATTTTTGTTCTAAGCCAAAATTTCATGAGCTATAGGTGTAAACTTTGCATATATAAGATATGATTTCTTTAAATTGCTTTAAATGCATAATATGTTATATAGAGACTATACATGCATGTGTATTAGAATAAAATATGTATAAGACATTTTTCTATGCAAATGTAATAGTATAAAAGGTACTAGAATAAGTATTCATGTATAAGTTAGAAGAATGCGTATGAACATTGAAATAAGGATTTGATAAAAGATATTCTAATTTTATTAATAACTACAATCACATTGCTTAAATGACCATAAAATGTGAGTTAAAGGATGTTCTTATGGTTTGGATGTGAAAAAAAAATATCTAAAATATCATAAAATTTATCGTGTTACATGAAAGAGTGTTTACTATCTTAATCTTAAGTAGTCTTAGGTTAAATATTTAAAAAAATCTAGTGTGATAGTTATAGATATTTAAATTTATATAATGGGTAAAAATTCATGTATCATTATGTTTTGTAAAAGATTTTAATTACATAATTTATTCTAAACTATTAACTTATTTTAATTTTATTATGATGATTATATATTTACATAAGAGATAATAATAATAATACCAAAGAACAATAAAAAATATAAAATTTAATTATGATTTTATTAAGATCATATTAAATTATTTTAGGTTTATATAATCTTTATATATTCGGTGTTCTAAAACTTTTCGTTAAAAACAAATATATATTTTTCTATAAATGTTTTATATTATAGACAGGTTCAAGATTTAAAAATTATGAAAACAAAATTATATATTTTTTATTTATAAAAATTTATAACTAAACATATTTTACTTTTCATTAATATATATATATATATATATATATAATAATAATAATAATAATAATAATAATAATAAAATTAAAGTGTATATTAAAATTTATTATCACGTTGATATTTTTTAATGTTCTATTCTATTTTATAACTTTTTTTTAGATTTTTTTCTTATTTTTTAAAAATTGATAAATCATGATTGAGAATATTTAATAAAAATGTATTTTTATACACAATAATAAAAATTTATTTTTATAAAACTATTGGTTAGTCTCGTGATATTAGAATTTTCAAAATAAATGATTCAATTTAGTTTTCCTTGATTATATGAGTTAAATAAAAAATTTAATGTCTCAATTTAATATATATTTAAAAATATATCATAATGTTTACGTAACCAATCCTATGTTAAGTTAACTTATATTTTTATAAGTTGAAATTAAAATAAAAAATTATAAAATATTAATATAAAAATAATTTATCGAACAAAACAATTTAATATAATTTTTTAAATATATATATATATATATATATATATTAAATTTAAGCTATATTATGAAATTAATTTCAATTTTAAAACTAATAATTTAATATAAATTATAACAAGGAGGGATCCAATTATTTTTTATTTTTAATATTCATAATTTATTTTTTAATCTAATTTATAATTTATCTTAATTATAAAATAAAATGAATGATAAACATCAATGATAAGGTTTTTAACTATTAGAGTAAATAAAATTCTTATCAATCTAATATATATATATATATATATATATATATATATATATATATATAATAAAATAATATTACATATTTTTATTTAAAAATTATTATATTTTAATTCATAAACTTAATTATCGTTTAAATCCATTTAGATTACGGATTATTAAATTAAAATTCCTTTAATCTGATTTATTTTTGTACAGACCCATGTAGTAAAACCTATATTTTGATGCCAATACTTTATTCACACTTTTTGCTTTTTATTTGCAAATATAATGTCCTTTGTGAGATATTTAAGATGTGGTTCTCTGATATGATAACATGCACGGTGCAAAATTTAATTACCTTTAAAACTCTCATTCTTGACCGTTGTTGAATGAAGTTATTTTACCATTAATTTATTTTTCTTTACATTTTTTTATTCTAAAAATTATAAATTAAGTAGTAACTATTTTTTTTAATATCCCATTCATTAATAAAAAAGAACACTTTAGGATAATTATTTTAATTTTTTATTTATTTCTTACCATAGATTCATCGATATAGAAAATTATAATTTTTATGTGATAATCGATATAGTAAATTGTACTCTCATTTTTAATATAATAGTCACAAAAATATTTAATATTTTTTTATATATATTATCTTATTTTTCATAGAAATTTATCAAACCACATGCAACATTAATTTAAAAATAAATCCTGAAAATTAACACGTCACAATAAAAAGATTGAACATAAAATATTAAAAAGTCGTACGCGAACAACAATTATTCCCAAGAAAAAGAAATTCACTAATAGATCAAAATATTTTGATTTGGCAACCTCTATTTCCATTTGGTGTTGTGCATTTCACTACCTTAAAAGTAGTTCAGATTTCATGACAGATGAGTGGGTCATGTTCTGTGTTTAAAAAGTGCAACATTAGCTGTGGTTCCTAAGATTCATTGCAAAAAAAAAACCTTTACTTGCCTTTCTTTTTCTATCTTGTGTGTGTGGCACTTCAACAATGAAGGTTACAGTGTTCATATTCTAAGTTGTATTAATAAATTCAATTATATATATATATATATATATATATATATATATATATATATATATGGAAGTTAAATATAAAAATATAAGATTTTTACTTGTAATTTTATCAAATATTTTTTTAAATGAAGGATGTATTTGTTATATATTTTTACTTATGTGTAGGTTGGTCAAGGAAATATAATTTTGTTGGTTGTCTAAGACGAGTGAGTTATTATAAATTCTTAAAAGTATTTAATTTTTATAAATAAAAATAGTATAAATTCGTCTAATAAAATGGAGTAAAAATACAATATAGTATAACTTACATACAATCATACTTTTTAAGTATATAGTTAAAAATTCGATTTTAAAATTGAAAAATCTTGATAAATCAAGAAATTAGTCTCTTAGAGTTAATGCACGGTTGACTAAGACACTGAAACAAAGTGCTGGAAGACAAGAGTTTTGGTGACATATACATTGTTATACAGTTAAACTTTCATAATAAAAATGTATATTTTTTAATGTATAAAAAATTGGATTGGATGTTCAACCGATTAAGCCGTTCAACTGATTTAATTAGAAATAAGTATAGAAATGGATATGTTATTTTTAAATAATTAAATTGAGTGAGAATGGATAAAATTGAAAAAATTATTTTGATTTTTAGGTTTAACTTAACTTGATAAAAAAAATTAAGATTTTTTTTATATAATTTTTTTTATAAAAGATATAATATTTTTTTATCTAATTTTAACTAATAATTATTTTATTATATTTTTATCTTATTTTAATATATAATTATATATATTTTATATTCTATGATATATTTTATATTCATAATTTTTATTATAAGTTATCCTGATATGATAATAACTTTTATTATTTTTCCTTTTTTTATAAAATAATACAGTTACTAATAAATTTATTATTTATTTATTATATTATAAAAATATTATTTTATTAAATCCAAATATATGTAATTGAACTTTAAACCTAAATGAATGTTTTCACCAAATGATATATTACATTTTAAAAACATTAGTATACATTATATTATAATTAAATTTGTTAATGAATAAATATAAACTGTTTTTTAACAATTGATAAAGTTCGAGATAATAAAAATGGCGGATTAAAGAGACATGCATTAAAAAAATCAATTATATAGATACAAATTTGGAAGATAGTTCGAAATGATTGAATTTTGTATTTTTTTTACTGGATATAAAGATAATTCTTGAAATACCCATTTAAAAATTATATAGTTAGAGTTACTGAGTGAGAATAATTCTTACTAAAGTATATATTCAAAATAGTAGATAAGTATTCATTAATCAAAGGATGAATTCAATGCGAAAAATTAGGTTTATAAGCTGATCAATCCACACTAATCATAGCAAAAGGAACAGGCCCAATTAATTAGCCTAGTCCATACTTTAGCATGCTAGAACCAACCCATTATTAAACTAACATCAAATTTTTGGGAGATCTAAATGCAATACATAATCCAAAGAAATAATCATTGAAAGAGGCTCTTGAACATTGACAGATAGTGATTAATTGCAGGAAATCCTTTTGAAGTAACAACTTCAATTAGTGGACATGGGAATTGTAAGTTCCATAAATAGGAACTACATTTGAAGCATCAAGACCCTAAGATAACTACCAGGATGATGACTTGTACAATCATGTTGAACAAGATTTTAAGCATTACAAATTGAAATCCGTTTGCCTGGTTTGGATGAAAATATAAAAAGGAAAAGCTTACAAACAGCTGAAAAAGCCAGAGCATTTGGATTTACTCCCAGTAATAACCTCAAATGAATTTACACAATAATTTTACAACCTTCATACAAGTGAGTAGAAAGACCAGTTAATCGAATTCCCATAACTGGAAGGTTCATTCATCATCGCCTGTATCACCAACATAAAGTGCAACATTCCAATCCTACTTCCAACTTTGGATAATTCACGAAAGCACAACATAAACATGGTTAGTGTATCACCCCAATCAAATGAAAAGTCCAGGCAAGTTATTAGACATTGAGAACATTCAGCCTACAAAGTCATGCAACAGTTGTCCTCCAATGACATCTCTTCCAAAATGCCTATTCTGTGACTCATATCCACTCATGACATAGCCTTCATTGTTGGTTTCAAGAGCAACACCAAACCTCTGTGCTGCATTCAAGGGAAAAGGTTCAGCCAACCCGATACCATGATTTTGATAAAGGCCTAGTGTGAGTGACACACTATTGCTTCCACTGCCACCCATGCTCACTCCAACACCCCCTGGCTGATTGCTTGTGCAGGGAAGATTCAGCTGCTCTTGTGTCCTAATTGGTATGTTAGGAAGTTCGTCTGTAGCACGCTTGTAAGGATTATCCTGAAACTTTTCTGTTGATGCTGATGGATTCTCAGAAACAATGGAGTTGTCAGAAGGTAATTGATCACTTGATTTGTTCCTGCAATGTTCTTCCTTCTGTGAATTCTTTTGGGCTTGCCGTGTTTCTAGCATATGTATTTCTTCCACCATTGGTTTCCAGAGCCTTACTCTTGCATTAATGAACCAATTAGACACCTGCAAACAGATCAAAATTGTAAAACATTAGAAGGACAAACCCTTTGATCAATAAGAATGAAAAGTTTATATACATGTTTGGATAGAGATAATTTTTTGATAATCACTCTCAAGAAACTAGCAAGCACATGTAATATCTCTTCAAAATAAGTTTAACCAAAACACACACTTAAAGGATGGTTATCAATAATATTTACCTGGCTACGAGATAGACCAGTTTGTTTGGCCAACATTAGCTTGTCGGTATCAGTCGGATAACTGTACGAGGAAAAGAAAAACTAAGCAAACAAAACACAATACAAGAAAGGAGCTAAATGTGTATAGATGCATAATGCATAGTTTCGGCCGGGGAATCAAATCATGATGTCACCACCTGCACATTCAGATTTGACTCCATTTTAAAGGGTAAACAAGTAATCTCAGTTGTTGATCAGAAAGAAAATCATTAGTTGATAGTACAATACTTTCATTTTTTGTCATGCATGTTCACTCAATATTAACTATTTATTTTCTCATCAACATACTTTAGCCTTGTAAGTTAGTTGCTTACTTTAAAGGAGCCAGATCCAGCCAGGAGTTAACAAACAAATATGGAACTTACGGGTGCAGAAAGTGCTCAAACAACCATGCTCTGAGAACCGTCACTGCCCGCTCGGGGAGTCCTCTTTGAGGCCGCCAAACAGGTTGGTGCTCAAGAAACCCTGGCCTTTGGCCGTAAGGGCCTCTATCACTGTTGCCAAACCTTGGAGATTCATCCTTCCTGTTGCTGATATGAAAATGAGCTTTATTGGCAAACTGAAGCTGGTCAGTAATTGCATTCTTCAAGCATTTAAAATGTTTGGACATGGCTTTTAAAGCCAAACTTGCATAGGGAGCTGCATTGCTAAGTCCTGAAACATACTCAAATGATGTTACCACCGCGTGCATCTGCTGATAGTATTGCCTGTACCTCCTGTACACCTGTTGAGGATAAATGAACAACAATTCTCAGAACTTAGGACAAAGTTTAAACATCATTTTAGTTAAGGTGTTCATTGATATTTTCAGTTCCTGTTTAAGCAATAAACTTAGCAATGGCATGAAAGCAGAAATGAGTACTCATGATACCGTCCACTAGAGCTGAGACAGGATCTCATTCACAGAAAGGTTAATAATCCTTATCAACACCGACTTGGTTTTAAATTGCAGTGGTAATTATGGTTGTGATTACTTTGCAATTGTCAAAATTGCAGAATCTCCAGATATTAAATAACATATTTATCAAGACACTCTATGAATACACAAAAATTAATAAATGCAAAGCACACACAACAGAACTATACTCAAACCTCACATACTTTGCATCCAATAACTTTGAACCTAAAAGACCAAGATTTAAGGTGGATGCCTTAGAATTTCATGCAACAATTGATAGCACAAAATCCTATCGGTTGACAAGCATGATTCATAAAACTTATAGCAACGTTGCTGGCTGATATATATTCTAAAGATTCAACATTTATGCGTTTAGGATTTCAGCTAATGCTGCACAAATTACTTGAATTACCTGAAGGCTGACCACAGATTCTGAAATTCCATACAAATGAGAGAATATATGCATTTTATTGTATCTAAGTATAGAAAGTTCTCACCATCATAGAAATAGTTGGAAAGAAACTAAATACATCACAAATCCAGAGAGTTGAATTTCAAAGACAGATCTTCGAAGTGTCTCACATTTACCAGATCCAATCCTCCAAAAGGGTAGCAACATAACAGAGAAAGAGATCACCCTTTAATTTTTTGGGAGAACAGCTAAATGAGAGAGAGAAAATTAAGACATAGTACCCCATGACTTCACTGAAATTGGAAACAAATTTCATCCACTTCAAAATGAGATACAAATGAAATCTAATGTTTTCAAAGGAAAGAAATATTGAACTTTGTTATTTCACTATTTCATATGTGATCCACAAAGGAACCAATCACAAAGCAGGAACTATGACGCAAAAAATGAGGTGAAAGAAAATAAGGTGACACATTTCTTCAACATTTGTACCCTGATAAATGGCTTTCGGTGACAAGTTCAACCAGAGAAAAGCCAAAAGCATCATATACTAGCAAGGAAACGTATAGACATACCTCTTATCAATGTATCACCCTTGTTCTTAGTTTTATTCCACAGGAATAATATGTGAAAAAGTGCTTAAGAGAACGCTAAACCTTTAGATAATTATTATCTGACATAGCACAAACATATTTATATTTGTTTGGTTGAGTTACGTTCATCACCATTTCTAAAAATTTATCTTAAAATGCACATAATACTTATGTGCCCGAAGGTGTTTTCTGATAGTTAAATAGTCTTTTAAAGCGGTACATTAGTGAGCTAAGATAAAAATTAATCAGTATTTAATAAAATGATATCATATTGCATGCATCTTTACTAGATAAACATCACAAACCATGTATGACACATGGTAACAAATATAGTCTAATATCCCAATCTAATGTAGTCCAATCAGAAATAGTAACAAATTAATGTTCTAATATCCCAATTCCAACACAGAATTAATACATCCACCAATTATGAGACCACTTTCTTGCACAAATAACTTGTTTATAATAGTGTGAACTATTAAATTGTATCATGATTCATAAGTTTGTATGACACGCTCAACTATTTTAGCATCCAGATCAATAATTAAAAAAAATTACAACCTTTCATAAAGGTAAAACACCTTGCCATCTAAGTATGTGAGTTTCTTTAACCTTTGCACCCCATGATCATATCACCACACACTTTTTCGGAGTATAAATCTTTTCCGATGGATTCCTTCAACCACTTTATGCAAATTATCCCTCCCAAACTGGGTGACTTAGTCACATATTAGAAATCTTTACATAGTTGACAGGCACTTTACAATGCCAATCTTCGTGCATATATTCCCTCCCATTAACTTTTCCAAAAGGACAATTGAGTTCACCGAGGCCATCCATCACAGGAAATACAAGAATCTTGATGATGCACATAGAATGTACAGTTAAAAGACCATTCATGACACATAATCACAAAAATAACACCACGCTTACTCAATGCAACCAATAAGACTCTAAGCAAGCTTCCACTTTCAAGGAATCACTAACCATACATCACTGAAAGAAAACGTAAGAAAAATTTTTAAAACATAGAAAATATTTAAAAAAAAAAAAGAACAAAAACTGGCAACTCATCAACCCATTTTCCTTCTAGATAACCGAAACTAACAGTAACATAACTGGACAAAAGGACTAAAATTGAAACCAACAGGAACAAATAAAAATAATACCCTTTCACCAAAAATTTATATTCACAACACAAACCGAAAAGAGAAAGAAAAAGGATATTAACGCAAAAAAAAAAAAAACACAAACCTCATCAAGCATAGTTAACAGTCTTGACTTTTTGCGACCCTGGTCACCCCCGTGATCCCCTAGTAGATCTTCGCTTGAACTCTCAGGCGGAGGGAGAGGAATAGGTTCCATCAACGATGCATCAGCTACCATCTTCTCCGCACAAACTCCACCAACATCACATAACTCTTCCAATAATTGCTGCGCAGGCTTCAGGAACCTCGATCCCTTCAATATGGAAGCATAACCAGTAAATGGCCCCATTGGCACTGTGCACCTCGAAACTTCATTCAAACCAGAACCACCATAAACCACACATCCACCACCACCAACCCCACCAACCTTATCACCATAAACCACAGATCCATATCGCTGAAGGTTCACACCGTTGTTGTGTGATGACAGAGACAAAGACAAAGGCTCGGGCTTGAACACCATGATCTCACTACCACTATTATTATAACCCTGATCAAACTCTCCCAGGTTCTGTGCTTGGTAGAGAAACATGTTGTTGTTGTTGCTGCTATTGTTAATAACCTGAATTGTAGCTTGGTTCAAAGGCAAAGAAGATTCAGGATCCAAGTAAGAAACCGAAGAGGAGTTAGAAGAACAACACGAAGAAGAAGAAGAGGCATTGTTCATGACTCCTCCACCACCTCCTCCTCCTCCTCCTCCTCCTGCAAAACCCATCATTAAATTCGCACGTTCTTCCTTCACACCACAACCCAAGTTGTGTTTTTGGCTGTTGTGGAAGGTCGTTAACAAATCAGAAGAGATGAACGAAGAAGGGTCGTACAACGGAAGTAAAGTCGAGGGTTCAACGAGACCATGTTGGTTCTGTGTCACCACAACTCTAAGCTTATCTCTTCTGCTTTGTTGTGGCACATGGTAGGCTTCAAAACCCTCAGCCATAGAAAAAACCAGACAAACAAACACACCAAAGCTGAAAATAAAGCTCCTGAACACTAGTTAAGGAGAGAAGAGAGTGTGATGTCACGATGAAACGAGAGGAAAGAAAGGGTGTGCCTAATTGTGGTGATGTTATTCTGAAACATGATAGAAAAAGAGAGTGGTTTAGTTTTTTCTATCTATGTATCTATATACCAGTGAGTTAGATACGTGAAGTGGGATTTTAATGAGAATTAAGGCAAGGTTTTGTGTGTGTGGTTTTTTGGGTTTTGGTTTTCACAGCACGCACACTCAAATTCCTTCTTTGGTTCTTTCTGTGTTTCTCTCTAGCTACAGTGTTGTGGCTCAGAGTGAACAACACAGATTCTTTCTTCTCCCTTCAAAACAAGGAACAAAGTGCAAACACTCCAAGGACGAAGAGATATAGGGTTTCAGAAACCGGATGGCCACCGGCTATTCCCGGTAATAGCTTATGTATAATGTATGTATGTATGTTCTGCTCCTTTCTCTCTCGCTGCGTTGCAGGTATTTCTGACACTGGGTTTTGTCGTTTTCCTAACCCTCTTGCTTTATATATATATATATATATATATATATATATATTTTAAATTTAAAACTATTCACTGGCTTTTAAATTATTAGAAAATATTAAAATATCGTTGGTGAATATATAATACATTATTTATTCTACGTTGCCTTGTATCCAAAAACGCTATGTTGTGACGTTGTGATTCCTGCGTTAACACGTTGCTTGAAGGAAGTTTGATGTAATTTTGTGGCAAAAAAATGCGTGGCTGTTTTTAAATAAAATCAAGTTTACTATTAACTATTCTTTTCACTAAAAGGAAGAAAAAGTTTTTTTGCATTGCATTCAAATTTGTCTGGTAACTTTTTCATCAGAATAACCTTTCTAAATAAAAAATTATTTTATTTAAACTTTTTTAAATTAAATTAATCTTATAAAGTTAATCACTCAAAATCAAAATCAAATTTACCAAAAATGGCCCAATCAATCGTACGACTTAGATTATTTTAGTGTTTAAGTCTATAGTTGAAATAATGTAGAAGTGATGTGAAATTTTGGTTGTTGAATGAAAAGTTGAATTTTCCATGTATTGATGAAAGAAGTGATAAATTATAGTTTTTGATTATTTTTGTAAAAGGTTTTAAAAACAAATAGTATAAAATGGAAAAAGTGAATTAAAAATGGAAAATATAAAAAAAGTGTGATGAGATGAATGATAGCGATAGTGATGGTGATGACGCACGTGAGAAGAAAGGAACAGTGGGATGAAAGAAAGAAAGAAAGGCTGAGTTTACCCTTCTCAGCACTCATCCGCCAACCCTACTACACTCCTTTTGCCTCACTCTCTCGCGTTACGAGGTTTACACGCCTTTCCTTTTTTTTTTACTATTATAATATTTACAAATTTTATAACCTACCTTATTTTATCACACTTTAATGAGTTATTTGTTTTTAATTATTTTTTAAACCACTAATATAAATTTTGAAGTAACTGATTTGCTTTGACTTACAATTAAAAAAATTCATGGTCTCTCAAATTCATGGTGAGTTTGATTATGGTTGAATCCATACTTACATTACAGCCATAAACTTGGATTAGGGTGGACCCACATTAATAATTAAGCAATTACGTAATCCATACTTGGAAGTAAAATTGATGTTGGTTATGTGTAATTGATCCACACGTGTTACTTTAGAATTGTTGGAACAGTAGTGAAGTAGTGAGGCTACAATATACAATAATAATCATTGAATTATGTGGGATCATCAGCCAAATAATTAGTGGATTAAACTACAGTAATCATGTTCTCTTCGGCTGATTAATTTGTGTTACTTTATTTCACACAAGCTGATAAGCTTCATTCATAAAAATTGTATTTTTGTTTTCTTTTAACGTGCGATTCTAGTGTTGTAAGTGCCAATTTTATATTTTTTTTACAGAAGTTTATAGCTCAAATAACGAGGGGGATCACTGTATAAGCATGCCTTAAGTTTCTTTTTTTTTTTTCAAAATTAGTTTAATATGTTTAATTATTTTATAAAATTATATATGAAAAACAGCATTGTGTGGAGGATGTAATTTCAATTAGGTTGACATTTTTTATTCATAACCTGTTACCCTCTTAAAATTTTAATTAAAAGGAAGAAAATGAAAATATTTAATGAAAATTGTTAAGTATATTATTAGAGCTAACAAAAATTAAAAAATCACTAAAATAATATTAAAGAAAGAGAAAATAAAGAGAGAGAAAAGATATAGAATAAGATTTACAAAGATACGTGTTTACTCTTTTGATAGATGTATGATATAATTTGATGATTTTTAACATTGTGGACAATTATCTCTTATGTATTTTGTTGCATGCTATCTAGATTTACTTTAACTGGTTATAAGTCATTCATAATGTTTTGGAATTATATTGTGGTTAAAGATGTTAATTTTAGATTTAATGTTTATAGAAAAAATTTTAATGGATTAAAATACTATTTTAATATCTTAAAAATGTTCTTAAGAATGGTAGATTAAACATGATGAATATTTTTTAATCAATTTAAATTTTCATTTTAATCTCTCAAAATTACTTAAGAAGTGTCTTATAGTATATTAATAAATTAAAATCTCGTTTTAATATAGTAAAATGTTATATTATATCATAGGTTTGAAAAAAAGAATATTTAATTTATTAAAAATGTAATGTAATATATCAATTTTATTTAAGTAAACTTCAATTAAAAATTCGTTGTGCTTTAATTGATTAAATAAATTATTTAATCAATTAAAATCATATAAAAAAATTAGTTTTTTGTAGTGATTTTAACAAAAGCTTACCAAATTTTGAAGATTTGTTTGCTCTATAATTTTAACATACTAAACACATAGTTTTAACCCATTAAAACTATTAGCATTGTATTATCTTTTACACTCTTTTAAATATACAAGTTAGAAAAAAATATAATTATTAACGCATGCTTTAATAATTATTAATTTTACTCCAAAATTATATTAAGATTAGATCACTAATGGTTTACTTTTCTATCCTTATTCTTGTATTTGTTTCAAAGATTATATGTGAACTTATTTCTATTTCCATGTTGTAAATTATGACATTTCAATGTTGATGTGGATCGTTTTTACTATGAGGCTATGTTCCCGACTTTTAATTCTTAATTATTGTTGTCAAAGTATGTTTTGTGGTGGATTCTACCCAAGACTTGTTTGATCTTGTGCAAGATTTTGTTATTTGACATTTTTCTTATTTTCTTAAGAGTTCTCATAAATTGAATTAGTTCAACAGGGTTTTGATAAGTTGGATGTAACACTACTACAAATAAGGCTTTCCACGTCGGTTCTGGAAGGCCTTCAACGGCGGTTCCAGAACCGACGTTGTATCAGGCGACGTTGAAAGTCCTGACTTTCAAATCGAAAATTTTTATTTATTTCCAACCCCTCTCCCCTCTCTTTTATCATCTTTTTTAAAGTTTAGAGCATTACCAAATTAATTTTTTGTCATCGACGAGATTCGAACCCAGTACCTTAGTGTTGGAGGCCGATACTCCAATTACTAAACTACTCGAATTTTTTGATAATAACTTACAAATAAATTATATTTATATACAAATAAATATATATCCGTGTAAATATATAAATATATAAATACAAATATATTTATATATTTTGATATATTTATATAATTATATATTTATATGTTGGATGTGAGGGCACGCTCGAAGGTGAAAGTGTGTCGAGTGAGTTTTCAAAATTTGATGTCAAATTTGTGAGCGAGTCTCTTTATATGAGTTTGTAATTTAATGACAGAATATAATATTTATAATTTATTAATGATATAAAATAAATATGAGAAACGCATCATTCGCTCAAGCGAAAAATACCAATTTTCGCTCAAGCGAGGCTTGAACGAGTGAATTTCCGTGAGTTTTAACCTATTTTCACTCAAGCGAGAGTCAATCTCACTTTCACCCTCGAACGCGCCTTCACATCCAACATATAAATATATAACTATATAACTATATAAATATATATAAATATATCAAAATATATAAATATATTTGTATTTATATATTCTATATTTATATATTTGCACGAATATATATTTATATGTATATAAATATAATTTATTTGTAAATTATTATAAAAAAATTATAGTAGTTTAGTGGTTGAAGTATCAATTTTCAACTCTAAAATACTGGGTTCAAAAAATCTCGTTAGTGACAATTCTCTAACTTAAGTAAATTTTTGGCTGAAAAAAATAAAAACACTTTCCAGAAAATATATATATTTACACGGATATATATTTATTTATATATAAATATAATTAATTTGTAAGTTATTATCAGAAAATTACAGTAGTTTAGTGGTTGGAGTATCAACTTTTAACTCTAAAATATTGGGTTCGAATCTCGTCAGTGACAATTCTTGAACTTAAGTAAATTTTTGGCTGAAAAAAATAAAAACACTTTCCAGTAAAATATATATAAATAAATATATATTTACACGGATATATATTTATTTGTATATAAATATAATTAATTTGTAAGTTATTATCGTAAAATTACAGTAGTTTAGTGGTTGGAGTATCAACTTTCAACTCTAAAATACTGGATTCGAATCCTGTCGGTGACAATTCTTGAAATTAAGAGAATTTTTGGGTGAAAACACATTCAACGCCGGTTCATCTGGGAACCGACGTTGAATGTCTAAATTAAAAGACTTTCAACGTCGGTTCATCTGGGAACCGACGTTGAATGTCTAAATTAAAAGACTTTCAACGTCGGTTCATCTAGAACCGACGTGGAAAGTGCTTTCTACGTCGGTTGACTAAGAACTGACGTAGAATGTGTCTAACATTCCACTTTCAACGTAGTTTTTTAACCAACCGACGTTGAAAGTGTATTTAACGTCGGCTCAGCTTTAACCGACGTTGAATAACGTTGGTTCATCTAGAACCGACGTGGAAAG